GGCACTATCAACTGTAGGCAGACATTGGCTTTTTTGCAATCCTGAAGCTTTTCAAGCTCCACGTAGATGCAGACAAGGGCTGCTGACGTCTAGCAGATACGGAATGTATTTAAACCCTCAGCTTCATTAATTTTGGCTCATGACTTACTTTCTAGCTATTCTGTTGAAGGTGCCATAAAACTCTCCTGAACTCATACTAGAACAAAATCTCCACTACGATGCTTTGCAACAGCCCAGTTACCTACCAGAGAAATCCTGACAAATGCAGATTAAATCCCATGCTCTGTACAGGCCTCAATTCCAGAGCTACCACCTTTCAAGAAGACTGAATAAAGTGTAAATGTAAGGCCAAGATGAGACTTTGCAAACATTTTCTATTTCTACACTTTCATATTTCTAAGAAAAGGCGCAGCGCACCTTTCTCCAACTGATGAGTGAAGTTTGAACCAACAGAAAGAAGCCTCACTGGTAACCTGTTATGCCTCTACACATGGCCAGCAAGCTTCTAATTTCATGTCCCCTTTCTGAGATGGTGTTTCATACATATTTAGAGGCAGGGGAAGAAAGAAATCGCTTTATTTTGCCACACTTAGAGTGGCTGTCCTGAATTCTCAGCAGGGCCATTCTAGCTGGCTCCAGACTGTAGCAAGGAATAGAAAACCATCCCAACTCACTGGATCAGGATGAATGAAAAAACTCGGTGACTAGGACATCTGGGGTACGACACGGAGCTGGAATCCTTTCTAACATGCAGGTTCCACAAGAACTTTTGGCTAAAGCTTTGCCTGCTGTTGTGTTGCCTACCTACTTGTTATCTTAAAAAAATGAAGGGGAGAAGGAATGAAGAAAGTGATGTTGGTGATGGCGAATGGGTGCAAGGAATCTGTAGACCGTTAGGTCCCTAACGCTCATACCAGGCTAATGATTTGTGTAACGTAAGTCGACCGACAGGCATTCTACTCAGCTTATGCACACAAGCAGGGCTTACAGGTCTGGCTTACATGACCACGGATACCTGCTAGGTGACAACTGGTATTCGTTAAAAGTAAGTGTAAACCCACAAACTGGGATGGAAGAGGTTTTGCTCACTTCGTATCTTGTGTATCCTGTTGCTTTTGTGCAAGGCACTAGAGAATCAGGCACATTGTTTTAGGTGGAAACCATTTTATGACTAAGATGATTGGCGTTTGTGACGTCCAAGAGCTGCCACTTCATAGAGCACAAGTTGGAGCAGTCACATTTTAAAAACTGCCATTAGAATTTCCCACTTCTAAAATGATCTCCTTTTCCAGATTTTTTTTTTGGGGGGGTGAGGTAAATGGGGAAGTAGGAAATAGCTTTGTTATAGCAAGAAAACTCCTGAAGAAAAGTATCTGGGATCTCTGCAGTTCATCTCCACTCTGATACTGATGTTGGCAATTTCTGTTACCAGCATCAGTACGAATAAGTGGTTAAACCCAATAAAACAGTTCTTTCCATTTTTATATCTCAGGGGGAAGTACTGGTTCTTGACATAAATGAACCCACGTCCAAATCTCTGCAGCACACAGAGACTGCGTGATGCATTCAGGCCGTTCTTTCTGACTTCTCTGGGAAGTCAGAGACAATGACCCATCTCCCAACAAAGACACCCAAAAGAAGGGAAATGGTGCGTACAATGATGATAAATGACCAAAGCACTCAGGCCAGCTCTTCCTTGGGCAACACATCTCTCTCTTTTGGGGAGGCCGGTGCCTAAGCTTGAGATGAATCGGATGTTAGGAGGACAGCGATGCAGCTTAAAGCAACATCCAAGCAAGAGACTGAAAAATGGAAGAGGTTATTCCAGATTACTCTCAGTTCTGCCAGCACAGGAAAGGCTTTGCTGATGTTTCTGTTCTTGCTGGGTGTGTCAGGAGGGCGAAGGGGATCTCGGCGGATGCCAACGTGCTCGTGCAACACGAAGTAATCTGAGTTCAAAGCATGAAGCAACCGATGAACGCTTCATGCACGTCCAGACAGCCGTGCCATCTCGCTATCGCTGGCCATGCTCAAGACACGGTAACTTGAGGAGTGCCTGCGCTTGAATCAAAATGCCACAGCCATAAGATGCAAAACTGATTTAATATAAACTGCTGATTAAAGGTTGTGTAAAAATACTGGTAATTTAGCGTTGTCCTGGCAGGGTTCATCAAGTATCTTTTGTCCTGTTTTTTTAATACCAACTTTCTATCCAGTTTTGAAGAATTGTGGCTTTTGTGCCTATATGTAATCCATATCAAATTTGTACCAGAGGGCAATCTGATCTGGTGACAATCCCATTCTTTTGTGCAGAAATTCATAAAGAACAATCTTATTATCACAATAATCTGTAAAGTGCCCTCAGGAAAGGTGCTCACAATGCCATGACATTCTAGAAACAATATACAATCTGATACATTATTTTCAAAAAAATCCTCCAAAGCAAAAAGGGAAAACATAAAAGGAGGGGAGCAACAAATACACAGGCGAATACTGTCAGCCTAGCAATGGTCAAATTAATTACGGAACGCTTTGTAATTAGTCTCAGAGTGCTTGTAAAAATGGGGGGCAAATCGGCAGAAGTATCTTGGAAAAGACCCAAATTTTCTAAGTTCTACCAAAGTAAATACACCAACAGCAAGCTCAGTGTTTTAAGATGAAATGAGTACGAATTACTACGACGTATTTTACTAAGGAAATTGAAAAAAACCACAACATCCAAAGAAAACCCATGACCCACATTTTACTAAGAGGAAAGACGATAAAACAGTGGCTATGTGTATCCACTGACCTTTAGTGTCTTGGTTTACATTTATAAAGAAAACAATCTTTCTCCTCCCTGTTGATCCCAGATTATATATATAAAAAAGTATATAATATATAGCTACATATTTTTTTATATATATACTCATACACACGTGTAGGTATTTCAGGGTCTTACTAGATTTCAGAGTCTATTTTCCTTTTTTTTTTTTTTTTTTTTAAATTGACTTAGAGAACACAACTGGGCAAAAAAAAATCAAGTAATTGCGTGCATGCAAGCATATCTTGCCACTTGTGCATGCAAATTACACAATTTGTAAACAACTGGAGAAATAGCATGCTCAAATTAGGCATCTGATTGCCCAATTAACTTGTTCAAAGAAAATCAGATGATAACCTTCGGTAGCTCCTACTATAAATTTTACTTCTCAGTACTACTTTACTGAATTCATAGTGTATATTCATAACAACTGCATCGTTCTTTTGTGCTTTTACATAGGCATAAGCAGCGATGCATGCTTAATAAAGCTATCAAGTGAACTTTGGACCAGATTTTAGAAAGCTGTTTAGATACTCAAGAGTCCCCTTTTTTCAGTAAGGATGAGCCAGCTTAGACATTTTAAAAAAAAAAAAAAAAAACCAACAAAAACCCCAAAAAGAACTGGTGTAATTTCAAATGATATGGAAAATAAAAAAATCCATGCCTCTATTAATAGGCAAATTTTGCTTCTGTGGTTTTGTTTGATTTTTTTAAGGTGTCTTTTTTTGTTTAACAGGCCAGTATTGTTTAACTGTATACATTCATATCCTCGTAAATCCTTCTTTTATTTTTGCATTGCAATAATTGTTAATTAATGATCATTCCATACAAGTTGAGACAGAACACCAGCTTTCCGCATTCCGGTGTATTTTCTAATGGACAGAGAAACTCAAGTACCCAAATCTATCCAAGTACTGCAAGTAGAAGAACTTGTTAATTTGTACATCAAAATGAGTTAAGAAATGGACTTTTACCATATATACGCTGCTCCTTTGCCGTTGTACTTCTTTTTCGGAGATGAAGTTGAGGAAAGGGGGTATTTTCTCTACCAATTTTTTGCGTCAAATACATCTTAGTGACTTTAATGGGGGCAGGGAGGGGAAGCTGAGCAAACAGTTATCTTAACAACGATCTCTAAAATAAGAGAAAAGGAAGCAAGAGCAGAACTGCTGGGCTGGATCGTGTCCCTGCATAGGTATTACGTATCATCCTAGCGGCTGCGTTTACTAGTTCTTTATAGGCCTCCTGCAGCAACAGACGTGCTAGTCCAACTGTTCATCCTCCCTCAGAAACGAGAGAGTGGTAAGAAAAGCTACTGGACCCCCATGATATTCTTACGGCTTTCAGTCACGCATCACTGGATTTCTTCCCTCAACTTCTTGTTGTGACAATATCTGCTGGTGACTTTCCATTGCTGCTTTTCTTCCTCTTGAGGATCAAAATCCAATTTGGTACTTAAATTACTTTGTTCCACTCCACTGGTCTGTGCCTGGTTTAAAAATCTTCCAGGAGCACTGCTTGTCCTTCTTGCAAATTCAGACTTTGCTTTTCTCCTATAAACAAACAAACAAAAATCCCAACTTCTCCCCACATCCCTTTTCCAAAAATAAAATATAATCACGATCATTCGTATCAGGAGAGTTGTTTAGCAGTCCCCAGTCTTAGTACAGCTTTTGTTGAGTAAACTGTAGCTGAAACGACTCTGAACTGTTTATTAGAAAGCTTTCAAAAAAGAGATCTTCGTTTCAGGAAAAGAAAAATTGTTCAGTTTAGCAAATACACAGAGACTGAAATGGTTAAAAATTATCCTAAGGAGCAAGTAGCTCACAGAGTTAGCAAAAAATTAACTTTTTCCTTTCTTTTACAGAAAAACACTAATAGCTGCTCTGGTTTCCATATTCAGTAAGACAATTTTGTTTTGTGTTCTTGGTTTTACTTTTTTTTTTTTTTTTTTTTTTTTTTGCTCTATTGCTCCACACAGGTTTTGATTAGTGCTTCTCCTTGGCTACAAGTGCTTCACTTTGAAATACAAAGCTCTTTTAAAAACAAAAAAAAAACCACCCAAAAAACAGTAACAAAAAAACCCCTTTGACACCACATTACTGGAGGGAAAATGGGAAGTGATACAGTGCAGCTGCAGCAATCTGATTCTGCTGTGTCCTCCCCCATCCCCAAATCCTCTGCATAATTTCAATCTTTAGTCGATGAACCTTTGGCAGGCCTTCTTCCATCGGCAGGCAGTACACCACATATCTCTGTTCTCCATCCCATAGACCTTCCGACACTTTTTCCCCTCCCCTCTAGGCTTCCTGTCAGAGAGAAAGGGAAGCTTGTTAACCAGATGCTTTCATAGCTTTCCTCTATCACCCTAAGATCAGGACAACAATCTCAATGGAGTGCAGCAGGCAGAGAACCCTCAGCCTTTCCAAGGGATCTGGGTCGGGTTTGAGTCAACCGGGAGCTGCTGAAGCAGACAGACACAGGGCCGTGACTCCACAGCTCTGAGGGACCAGTCCTCCTCCTCGCCTGGCTTCTACAGCCTCTGCGGCGGCTCCTGCGCCTGCTCCTCCGCTCCGCAGCTGATGAGCCCAGGAACACACAGCCCCGACTTTAGCCAGCGACTAAGACGGTCCAGATCAGTGGTACTTTAGCCATGTAAGGGACAGTCGTAGGTATTCTACAGTACAGTCCTGATAACGTCAGGCTGAAGTCCTCTTTGCTTTAGGGCTGCAGTACAAATATTTTGCATAGCTCTGAGCAGCAGACCTTGACTAACCAGCAGGTAGCAGCTAAAGGGGGAAAAGGAGGGGAAAAGCTACCAGCTCCTAAGCTTGCCAGTCCTTCCTGCATCCTTTGCTCTGAGCTCATTGACTGAAAAACAACAAAGTAATTGAAAACAAGTTTTCACCCTTGCCTTCAGCTGCAGCACGTTCACCTGTGCTCCTTCTCTGTCGTCCCCAAGGTCAGCAAGGCAGGCACTATCTGCCCTTAAAGCTGTAACGATTGTCACGTCTTCCAGCTTATAACCACACTTTAAAGTTCACAGGTTTAGAAAATGGTCGAAGTAACTGTTAAATGGAACTTTTTTCTTATTTAGCACACAGAAAGCCAGCAAACCTGAGGAGCAGTGCTACAAGAAGTAACCCAATGCTCGCTACAGCAGTGCCGTTTGTCCTGGAGTCGTTAAATCAAGGAACTGTGCAGACAGAATTGTTTACTACCTGTATTGCATACTGCATGGCAAACATGGGGATTGCCTGGTGATTCATCTCTTGTAGACCTATAGATTTGTTGATTACTGAACATTCACTAATGGGCACAATCCATGAATTGGGAAGATCCTAAGTTGGGTTTGTAGCATATGCAATGATCTGAGACTCTTGAAAAAGATGAAAAGTATGAAATCTTCCTTTTGTCTCATTTTAGGCTACAGTCACCTTAGGACTGTGAGAATTCAAGAGTTTCTTTACTGTAAGAAGTTCAGTGTCACAGTTTGATTTTTTAACATAACTTTTTGAACAATTTTAAAGCAGATTCTGGTCAAACATCAGTTAGCTTTAATGGAAGTGAATGTGTTTTACGTTTAGGAAGACAAGGTATAAAAAGTTTTGCTTTGATCTAATTTGTTGTAAGATAGGGTTTCTTATAATTCAGTTGTAACCAAATACCACACTGACCGAATGGTGATGAACACACAAGACAGCCCAATCTTTCAGGGAAAAAAGCAAAGCCACGTAACAAAGTTCAGGATGCCTCAGCTGGAGCAGTGAATCTGGGCAGCGTTGCTTTACAGGGCAATTTAGATCTGCATCTGAACTCCAGACATGCTGGGCATAAGGCCTGCAGTTTTGCTTCACAGCCTGCCTTTTTCATTTTGCAACAACTCACGTTTCCCCCAAACTTTACCTTTGATGGCAATGAAAAGCAAAATAGGTCCAGAACGGTTCCTCTGAAGCGTTCTAGTAAGAAACTGCCTGACAACTGCAATCACAGTTGGTGGCACGGCTTTTGTGTTTCTTTGGCCACTGACATCTTATTTACTAAATGCCCTCCAGGTTCTGAGGCTGCTGGTCTGTCAGCAGGAGCTAATGGTCCCATACCTCAAGCCAAATGCTACTCTAGGCGGTGATGAAAGAACTGTGTGGGACTGTTTCTGCTCTCCACTCCCTGCAGGACGATTATGAGTTGGTGAGACCTGTCAATACAGACAAAAAAACTGCTTATGAAGAACATACACATATGAATGCAGTATAAACACTTCTCCCAGAAAAAAATGCAATTCATGATGCGTGGTGGCAAGGACACCCAGCAAAGGTCATTATATAACATACAAACCTAAGTAAGTTGTAGGTCTATTTAGAAAGATGTCCACCAAGCATTAGGCACACTGTATTAGCTCCCATTTTGTTTCCCTGTACTTCCAGTCATCCAAACAGAGCAAACCAGAATACAGATCAGCATCATTTCAGGTTTTGGGAAATACAGAAAATGCATTCATTCCTATTTAAGAACTCTGAACAGCTCTTATCAAAACTTGCCCCAATTTAAGCAGACAAAATAACTGGAAAAATAAACTCTGGCCTGTGCTGAGATCAACACCAATAAATCCCTGTGAAATAATGAGATTTCATGTGTTGCTCTCCTCTGTGACTTGGCCCTTTTTGTGGAGACACAGCCTTGGAGAAGGGGGTTTGCTGCAGGGCAGTTACGATGCGGCCCTCAAGGTTTTAACGGGGGTGCAAGGCAGCCTTTCTGATTAAGGCTGCTAACGAGATGTACGGGATTATTTCCTTTATTCTGCACTGTAAACCCTCTCAGCAGGTGTCCTTCTTTGTGAATGTTCCTGAGTAAAGGGTATAGTCTGGTCTTCTAAGACTTTCCAAATAAGCCTCCTACATGAGCCTGGGGGTTGGCGACTTGATTCGAGTAGTCACATGGCATAAAGCTCGGCCTTAAATAATTCTTAAATTATTTACTGCTTGGGTCTTATTTTGCTCCTGGGTGAAGGCCACAACCAGTTGACATCTAAAACACCAGGAAAAAATGACAAACACACATTTTTTGTTATGTACAGAATGTAGCAAGCTTCCTTTGGGCACCTGGTGCATGGAGTCATTGCCTCCTGCAGCAGGGAACTGCAGATACTGTCACAGTTCCCTGCATTGCTGTGACTTTTCACTCCTGCCCTTTTGAAGTCTCATAGTATCTGGAAGAATGGGAACTGACCTGACTTGAAGAGGTGAATGCGCTCCGATTTTTGATATAAAGTCTACTTTATAGCTACTCCACAGTAGCAAAAAACTCACTGATTCTTATAATGGAGCGCAGACGCTCTTTCAACCTTTACTCCTGGCTGGTAACTACAGTCATTTCTGATTTCACTGCATATGCAGCTCACACCCTGAAGCGGTTTAGGCCATTACTGATAGAGTATTTTATATATCCAAAACATGAAAGAAATTTCCTCTCTCTGGGCCTGTTTACCAGAACTTGTGTTTTATACATCCAGAGACCATGCTAGCTCCTTCTGTCCTCCTCAACACTGAGGGCAGCTTGCAGTCTACATGTCCTAAATCTTTTGCAGCCTTTACTTTCAAAGTCAGTGCTTTCTTGAGTTGCCAGGGATTATCCAAATTCCCTTTTTCCACAAATACAACCTTGCATTTTGCACAGTTAAAGGACACTGGCTCTGAAAAGGGCCCCACTTCACAAATGGGATATACAGTGATACATGATTATCCCGTCTTTTTGTCAGTCTCTCAGCCATCCAGAAAATGGATCGTCAGCAGTAACTTCATATTTTTGCTTCCAAATCGATCATGAAAATGCTGAAAAGCACCAGTCGTTGTATGGAGGTGATGCTGGCTCAGTAAAGAAGATTCCCAGTTAACTACTGCTACTTGAGGTCTGACAGACAGATCTGAATTTGCTTAATATATGCTGCATTGGCACTACGTATTTTTAGTTAAGAAACCTGCTGCTTTTCAAAATATACGTTAGACACGAGCAGTTGCCTTGATCCACCAAACCTTTCATATCCTTAAAGACTGGTATGAGGTTTGTTTGGCAAATCCTGTCACATAAGATCATGCCGATTGACCTTTTTTCCCCACCTTTTATCAATGACTTCTCTTGTTTTACCTAAGGAGGACTGAAACACTGAAGGTAAAATGCAAAGCAGTAACACTTTTCTAGTCTTTGGCATTTACCACACACCGCACTGTTTTTCAGTCGTTACCAGCAACCAGCGATCGATCTCCAGTCAGTTCTGTTAGGGTTCTTAAACATTTTAAAAACCAGAGAATTTGGATATCTACCACTACTAACCGATACTCAACATGTTCCTTGGTTATCATTGAACAGAAAAGTACTTTGATGGCCTCCTACATTATAAGCAATTATCCTGCTTGTTTCCAAACACAGAACAGGCTTGAGTAGTAATTGCAGTGTGCAGACTGTGTCTCCCCTCATGTTCTCCAGAGAGGGTCCCTGTGAGATGGTTTCCATCGATTAGCATACCAAGAAGGCTAAACTGCACTGCAGTTGAGCGTCAGTGTATTTTGATACGCTTTTCAGCAGGTCTAAACAATACCAGTTAGCTGTGTGTCTTTGTAGGCGACACTAGGCGCAGATCAAGAGGAGGGTGTGAGAAGGCAATCCTTGCCCTCAGAGGCTTTTCACATTTGAAGAGTTGGCTACACAGGGAATTAATGTGAAACTGCAGTGTTTGTTGGAAGGGAGGACCTGGAGTTTCCAGTTACAGCTCCTGGGGCAAACTGTGGTTACAGAGAAGATTTGTGATCTGTAAACATCAGATTATCAAACTCAAAGATCTTCTCCTGTTCAACCTTTTTGGGTCTCATGAGCAGGAAGGTAAGAAACAGCATTACACAGCGGAGATCACGCTGGCATTCCAGAAGACTTTCATCCTACATTATTAAAAATGGAACTGTATGGTCATTATGTTAAGTCCTCCAGGACCCAGAGATACAGACCCCGCCATTGCTCATCCCACTACAACCGCTCGCATCATTTCATTTGTCCTCCTCATACATCCCCATGCTGTGCCTCATTTTTTCCCCTTGTTCAGTTTCAAGTGGTAGAGCAAACATGAACCTGTCCTTTCTGCTCTATGCAGAGAATCACACCTACCAGCAACTCTTAGCTGCGCCAACACTCAACCTGCTCTTGCACCTGCAAATTGTCTTGGGAAAATGGTACAAAAAAGCGTATTTTCCATCTGCTTTGGGAATCTAACTTAAATGATTCAGAGCACCAAGTATAAGGACTTTGGAGGTCCCCCTAACTCTCCTCACTTACGGCTATAAGACTTCTAGATAAATGTCTATGGTTAGATGCTGTGAATACCCCTGAGCCTAAAGCAGTCGCATACTGAACCCCAACTGATCCAGCAGTATGTACGGCTTGTTTTGAGGTGCTTAGGTACTTGCTGATGAGCACACTCACATTCACAAAGGACTAAATGCAATTCATGATGTCTGTCTGAACACCCAAGTTCCTGGGACGGCAAGCAGGGAGCGCTCAGTGTCATCGAAATTCAACATCCACAGGAGTGAGTGGGGTAACACGTAAGGTAGGTGTCAAAAAAACCCACAAAATGCTATTTCAAAATTCTGTCTCTCTCGTGGACTTAACTGCTGACATACAGGCCTAGAAAGGAGACTGTTCAAAACCAGGATTCAACAGCCCTCTAATGGGTCAAGGACAGAATGGCCCCATTCCAACATCATCAGAAATGGGAAGAAATGTGCAGACCTACGCACTTTTGCAAATCTGTACCTAATCCTTTACTGCTCAGTGATTTGTCCAGGCCAGGAAAGTATCCCAAAGCCATTTTAGAAAACTGCTTGAATAAATATTAAGGGTCAGGCAAAAAGTAATGGTTTGGCCTTACTCTCTAAAGTTCCTTTGCGTGCTACAGACGTGCATCTAATCTCAGGGACCATGTATGTATACAATTGCATGCGTTTATAGTATGCTGGCTCTGTCACATAGTCTGAGCTTAAATAAACCTCATAAGAAGAAAGTCCCCTGTACTAAAGCTTTCTTAAAGTAGTTACACTTAGTATAAGGGTGGGAATTGAGAGCCCTGTATTTATAAGGCAATTATCTAATTTGCTTTGACACAGGAGAAATAAAACTTTCATTTGATATACAGTTATTTAACATCACTTTGCATTTGCACCCCCACTTACTGCACATAATTTTCCACTGCAGGCAAGCCTTTGTAATTCATAAATGATCTTACTGATGACAAAGTAGTCAAAAGTGTGCAAACCTAGAAAGTTTTTTTTGGTTGGTTTTTTTTTTTTTTTTTTTTTTCCTAAACAGCCTTATAAATGTTGTTAGACAGAGATATAAAGGCAGTTCATACTATTCCCTGCGCAGTTTATAATTCTGCCATCATCACTGCTTCCCCAGGTTTTTGTAGTGGGATTTTTTTTACGTTGTACTTAAATCATTGGCAACTCCATACAATTCTCAGAAAGTGATTTGGCATTTCTTAAATTCTTTTGAGAACTCTCAAGTCTACAGCCACAGATCAACATTGTTGCTCGAACAAGTAAACTCAACACATACGTGTCTAATCCTGCCCTCTTAAGTGTCTGATTTACAATGTGGCTAATTGCATTTTTAGATTCCCAACACTCCTGGCACCAATTTCTGCTACTCCACAAAAGGAGCCGGTTTCATAATTACTCTGTATCAACCCCATTGTTGGGAAATCAAATTCTCGAGGAACTTTATGGATAGCACGCTCTGTCAAGGCACTCTTGTTCAAATTGCTGCCAGCATGATGTCTTTCACTGTTAGTTGTTCCTTGATGGAATTTAATAAATATTCATTGGCAGAATGCAGTGTAATTGATTCAGCCACTTTCATTTTTTATCAGCCCTGCAGGATGCCACAGCCTCTGCAGAAAATCTCCAAGATTTGCCAAAGGTTGACAGTAAGAAGCTTTGGAGATTCACTTGATGAAGAGAAGGGAGAGAAACAGCATCTTTTATCACCATGGCTAATATTCACTGTCAGGAGAAAAAAAGCTATATGGTTCTTTGGATGAGCAATGTGCCTTGTACGACACACTTGAAAAATTCATACATTCATAAAGCATAATATTAAATGAAATGTTATGATATCAAAAAGGTTTATGATTACAGAATATCAATTTATACTGAAAAATGCTTTCCAATAAAAATCAGGATACATTGCATTAATATTTATTTCTATTTATTATACAGATTTTCCACTACTCATAGTGATTTACATTTACTTTTAATATTCACCATGCTAGGCACTAGAAGCCTAAGCCTTTTGAACACTTCATAAAGGTTTTTAACTCCCTCTACAGTATTCACACCTATACTGCGTTACATTTAAGACGACTGGAAGTCTATGCTTAAGCAAACATCCCATTTCTGCAGTCCTGTTCATGAAATTTGGCCTTGTACACCAGCTTTTTTGAAGAAAGGGTCAGAGTTGACTTTACATCTAATACATACATCTAATACACCTTCATTAAAAATGTGTTCAACTGCAAGATATATTAATATCAAAAGGCAGTATGTATTGAACATATTTCCTGCATAGAAGTACAGAATTTTTTTATATCAATAGGGACTACATATATGTAACCTACTAGAATCAGACTTTGCATTTCGTCTTATTGTTTCTTTCAGTTGCCTTTCAAATACGCTTCACCCTCAGAGTTCATTTAGGTAACAGCCCTACTGCTTGAATCCAATTAGCCTGTTAGCATAACCAACACCTCGCTGATTTTCCATCTAGTTTTGTAAGAAGTTGCTTGGTGGCACAAAAAGGACCATATGGTGCCAGGCCCTGCTCCTACCAGAATGTTCTTTTGTAAGCATATAGCTTACAAAATATGTACTCTAGATCCAATTCTCTGCTTGTAGACGCTGATGCAAAAAAAAGTAACTGTACTGAATTAAAGGGACTGGCAAAAGTGCTACAATCAGCCATGCTGGCAAACTGAGGCATATATTTAATTTGTTTCTTTTCAGTATCTGTTATGTCAAATTTTCTTCTACCATGAGACACTGTGAAACAAACCAAAAAGTTCTAAAAACTTATTTTTTCTTTCTTTCTTTTTTTTTTGTTTGTGTTGTTCACTTACTGGAATGCCGGTGAAGGTAACTGGAGGCGACTGCCAAGAGATGCTAAAGCTACTGCCATTGGGAGTGAATTTTGCTGACCCTGGAATGTTCACTGGAGGAGTGGCCTGTGTGAAAAGAAAATATTATTCCAGTAGGAAGAACCATTCCTCTTCCAAAGCATTTCAAGGGATCTTTCACTCCTTGAAACTGTAAATCTACGAGAGACTTTCTGAGCCGGAAAAAAGCTGCATGGTGACAAGCATTTTACCCTTACGAGAGGGATAATCATGGATAAGCCAGTAAAGAAGGGACATATTTATGTAGGTGACAAGCATTTTACCCTTACGAGAGGGATAAGCCAGTAAAGAAGGGACATATTTATGTCTCACTTAAGTGTGAACTTTTGTGTTCTTAAAACCTTGTTTAGAGAGGGACAATAGCTCTCACAAGAATCCACACAAAACCCTTAAAAGCTAAATCTGATAAAAACCCCCACAAAATCAAACATCATATACAAGTTACTTTTAAAATAATGCCAGCTAGCGGCAAAAAATATTATAAATGATCACCTGTTCCACCGTGATAAACAAGCCAGTATTTAAACTGATGGCAGCTGGTTTAAACAACTGAAGACTGGTCGGCGAGGGTTCTGGACAATAAGGTTAATGATCAACAGCAAGGGTTAGCCATTTCTCGTTTATCAGATGTTAAGAATCATCCCAATTAAAACAGTCTTTCCTATTAAAAACAAGGAGCTGAAAATCCATCCTTGGGATTCAAAAACCAGCTCTTAAAAGACTAAGCTAAAGCAAATATTTGATGGACCCCTGGGCCCCTTGAACTCTTATGTTCTTCCCATCTGGGCTGTAATACCCACTACTGCTCTGGGGTGCAATATCTGATAATCTGAGCTCAGACCACTGAGCACCTTTCATCTTGTGCTTTCCCTCTGGTTTTCTCGCTGGGGTCTGAGCCATCAGGAATTCTCCCCTGCCACTTTTTGAATCCCATTTAATTTAGAGTTGGGAAATTCACACCTTTGCAGTTACCCTGCCTAGCAGGAGCATGAGCAGCCACCGTGAACACAGGTTCCCTTTGACTCTTGAATTTCAAGCTTTCACCACCAAAAAAGGCTCCTTAGTTTAAACTTATACAGAACTTGCTATTAAAAATGAGCTTTTACTTCTGCCCTTCAGTTGCCTGCACCTCGCAATAACGCAATACACTTCACTTAAGTAGTGTTTGTATTTGAGGCTGCTGAAGTTGTTGCACTGCTTTAGGGAAGAGAGTGCTTCCCCGAGCTGCCAAGCAGAGAGGAGTGATGACAAACTACAGCCTGATAGTTCCCATTAAAGATAATCTTCAGAGTAAACAAGTACTGAAGCAATCCCCCAGAGTCTCTCCAAGGAAAAGAAACTGAGATCACTGGAAGCCTCCGATGCTCTGCGGGCTGCCGAGCCTGCTGATGGCTCCAAGACAGTCCACACAGACAGGCGGAGCAAACATCCACTGAACTCCACAAAATAAAAAACCTCTCTGAAAGGCATCAAGAAAAATTTGGCAACTCCAGACGGTACCAGTAGTGCTTCATCACAACCCTGTTCAAACGGGAAGCAGTGAATGACCACGGTACTCCCGCCAGAGCAAGCTGGAGGCAGCTGTGGGCAGCGAGGCAGTGCTGCCTCCACTCAGCATCCCACCGGAATATCAGCTCAAAGCTGGGGTCAGCACAGGGACTTCCTCAGGTATTCGAATATGACCTGCAAGGGAAATCCTGGATGCTGACAGAGCCCGCCCGTAGTTCCTCTGTAGCTAAATTTAACAGGTACAGGCACTAGTTTCATAATGAAACGTGGAGTATGAGAAGTTTAAAATTGCTGTAACTTGTTGTTGCCTAAAATACTATGGTGCTCAACTCTTTTTTTTCTCAGTTCCTAAATATCTACCTCAGACATGATCAGATTTAGACAGTCAATCACCTTGTTCATTTGGGCTCACTTTGCTTAAAGACCTCCATCTAATTTCCAATCAAAATATATTCATGGATAATTTACAATTATTTATTTGTGCCAACACTGCCCTTACATCTGAAATAGCACGTGCTCGTCCTCTTCCCCTCTCATGTTTGTCCTCTCACTTTCTTCCCAGGCAGCAACCCCATCCTCTCCTCACCCCTGGCTTTGCCCGAGCTGTCAGTCCCTGGGCTGGAGAGGCACTCTGTGTCCTCCCTGCCCTCCCTCTTCTCTCTGATCACCTTCCTTCTCTCTCTTCTAATTGGAGCCCAGCATCCTTGAACTTGGTTGACCAGAACTCTACTCAGGATCTCAGCTGAAGTTATCCATTAAAAATCACTGACTTTCCTAGATATTTCTTACCCAAGAAAGCTGACAACTTTTTTTTCCTTCACAGCTCTATTGTTGTTGGCTCACGGTCATTCTGTGCTTGATTAATGAACGAACATAGGTTTCTTCCTCATGTAATTTGCTAACTACCCCAGTTAATAGCAGAAAAATCTCATTAGTTCCTCAGGTGCAGGACTTGGCATGTTCTGCCATTAAACTGCATCCAAACCCTATTATTCTTAAGATCACCCAGTCATGTAAGTATGATATACAAATTCCCATACTGCTGACATCTCCTGAGTTCTTTATCAGCAGTGTGTATTACAGTATTTGTCTCATACCAAAATGATTTAATGAAAATGAGATCAGGCCCAAATACAGCTTTTCATTCAACTCCACTAATAACATTCAATAGCCCTTTCAAAATAACTCACTGCTGTTCTCCCTGACTCCCCAGCTCTCTCTCCTACACTAAATTTAATCTCTAGCCTAACAAATACTGCCTATATGTTTTAAGATCAAATGCTCTCCTCGAATCCAGAGGGGTTTGTTCTTCTGTACTGCTTCTTTGTTGTTTTCAAAGCTACTTTGTCCAAGAAAGATGTTAGACTGTTCTAGCATAATCTTTCCTTGGGGTCCCTCCACCGCAGCTCACCTCATTTGCTGTATTTGCCGCATTTTTTTCAATTATTCTTCTAAGTCTTTCCTCATCCATAGGAATGGGTCAGAGAAGAGAGTCAGGACTTGTCTGATCCCTTGCCCTTTACACCTTTCTTACTACAGGTATTATATTTGCCATTATCCAGCCATATGGGAAAAAGCAATTAACAGATCTGTTTAGGATCCCTGTGACCTAGCTTTGGGTTCCCTATTTTTTTTTTGGTTTTTTTAACAGGAATTCTGGAATGAACATTATTCAGCCTCCCTTATCTGAGTTCCTTGAGCTGTGAATTTTGCCGTTTCACTCCCAATGATTTACACTTCCATGCTCTTATTCATATGAGAAACTGACTTCAACACTACATTCCCGTTCAAGACTTTGTTTCAGTTTTGATACAGATAGTATTTTTACCAGAAGTAAAAAAAGTTTTGAAATTCTGTATATGGCTCACTCCAGCAAGCGAACTGCAGGAAATACGGTGGTATTAAAGATGCTGTTGACACCTTCTCTTCTATTCCCTTTTTACAGAACAGATTAGTCACAAAAATTGTTAAATACTGCAAGTGAAAGCTGGGATCAATTCCTCTTCTTGCTGGTGAGAGTTGAATCTCCACCTTGCCTCCCAGAGAGTGCTGCTCTTGCTGGGCTAGAGGGACCCTGCCACAGGATGGCACTGACCTGCTCCGCAGAAGCTGCCTCCTTTGCAAGGAAAA